TGCACGCTATGTTGCTCCTGGGAGACACAGACCGGAGCACATGGCTGCAGCGAAGAGGGTATTGCGCTACCTGTGCAGTACGTCGGGCATGGGGCTAGTGCTTGGAGGGCGGAGTCCAGTGGTCCTTACCGGCCACGCGGACGCTTCTTGGGCTGACGACCAGGCTACGCAGCGGTCGTCAAAGGGTTACACCTTCAGCCTTGGTTCCGGCTCTGTCTCGTGGCGGTCTACTCGCTCGTCTTCGGTTCTCGGCTCCAGTTGTGAGGCTGAGATCTACGCCGGGGCCATGGCTGCACAGAAGCTTCGCTGGCTCACCTACCTGCTGACTGACCTTGGAGAGCCGCCTCGTTCTCCTCCAGTGCTGTACGTAGACAACAAGGCCATGCTGGCCTTGTGTCGAGAGCAGCGCTTGGAGCACAGAACGAAGCACATTGCTCTCCGCTACTTCCTTGCTCGTGAGCTGCAGCAGCGTGGTCAGTTGCGACTTGCGTACGTGGCCTCTGAGGCCAACACTGCTGATGTGTTCACCAAGGCACTCGCGCCTTGTGACCATCAGCGCTTTTGCACCCAGCTGGATCTTGTACCTGTCTTGCCTCACTTGCTCTCCTCTTGACTTCACTTGTACTGTGACATATATATATACCTGCTCTTGCTTGTCTAGTTTTATACATATGTCTGTACTCCTGCATGTGAACTGGCCACTGGCCCTGCTCTTGTGCTCGGATTGTGTGGTGACGTTGTGATCCACCCTGAGCTTGCTCTGCTTTGCTTTACTTGACTGGTCTTGTAACCCCTTGTTCTCCCCCACTTTGCCTATGGGGGTGTGTCAGATTTATATGACATAGTTGCTGTAGGCTATAGTGGGGTAGCACATATGGGGTACAGGGTTTCTAGGGTTGTATTTGTACCCAATCTTTCCTTAGTCATTCCTGTTCACTTGTTTCACAGCATTTGCACTCTAAGTTCCCATACTGACCGACCTGGCCAATGCACCTTTTTCCATATACATATGCATTAGATTCCTTTAGAACCTTATTAGCTTACTAGATTTATATATTTCCCACCTTGTGATCGAGTGAGACCGCTAGATTCCCTCTACTTTTTGAGAAATGAGCGTTTCCGTTCTCCTTGGCCCTAGTTGCACTATAAGTGCGAAATGCCGGCCAGACTCGCCGATGCACAATTTTCTCTACACATGTGCGTTAGTTACCTTTCAAACCCTTACGTTCACTAGATGAATATATTTCCTACTTTCTATTTGAGTGAGACCACTTGATTCCGTGTACTATGCGAGATCTGAGCGCTTCCGTTCTCCCTAGCATTTGCATTTTAAGTTCCGATACTGATTTTCTCTATACATGTGCGTTGAATACATTTTAAACCTTTTTAGCTGACTAGATTTATATATTTCCCACCTTCTGATCGAGTGAGACCGTTAGATTCCCTCTACTATTTGAGAAACATGCGTTTCCGCTCTCCCTGGCCCCACCTGCACTATGAGTGCGAAATGCCGGCCAGACTGGCCGATGCACCATTTTCTCTACACATGTGTGTTAGTTTCCTTTCAAACCCTTACGTTCACTAGATGAATATATTTCCTACCTTATATTTGAGTGAGACCACTAGATTCCGTGTATTATGCGAGATCTGAGCGGTTCCGTTCTCCCAGGCATTTGCACTCTAAGTTCCCATACTGACCGACTTGGCCAATGCACCACTTTCCATATACATATGCATTAGATTCCTTCTGAACCTTATTAGCTCACTAGATTTATATATTTCCCACCTTCTGATCGAGTGAGACCGCTAGATTCCCTTTACTTTTTGAGAAATGAGCGTTTCCGTTCTCCTTGGCCCTAGTTGCACTATAAGTGCGAAATGCCGGCCAGACTGGCCGATGCACCATTTTCTCTACACATGTGCGTTAGTTACCTTTCAAACCCTTACGTTCACTAGATGAATATATTTCCTACCTTCTATTTGAGTGAGACCACTAGATTCCGTGTACTATGCGAGATCTGAGCGCTTCCGTTCTCCCTGATATTTGCACTCTAAGTTCCCATACTGACCGACCTGGCCAATGCACCATTTTCCATATACATATGCATTAGATTCCTTTCTAACCTTATTAGCTCACTAGTTTTATATATTTCCCACCTTTTGATCGAGTGAGACTGCTAGATTCCCTCTACTTTTTTAGTAATGAGCGTTTCCGTTCTCCTTGGCCCTAGTTGCACTATAAGTGCGAAATGCCGGCCAGACTGGCCGATGCACAATTTTCTCTACACATGTGCGTTAGTTACCTTTCAAACCCTTTCCTACTTTCTATTTGAGTGAGACCACTTGATTCCGTGTACTATGTGAGATCTGAGCGCTTCCGTTCTCCCTGGCATTTGCATTTTAAGTTCCGATACTGACCGACCTGGCCAATGCACCATTTTCTCTATATATGTGCAATGAATACATTTCAAACCTTTTTAGCTGACTAGATTTATATATTTCCCACCTTGTGATCGAGTGAGACCGTAAGATTCCCTCTACTTTATGAGAAACGAGCGTTTCCGTTCTCCCTGGCCCCACCTGCACTATGAGTGCGAAATGCCGGCCAGACTGGCCGATGCACCATTTTCTCTACACATGTGCGTTAGTTACCTTTTCAAACCCTTACGTTCACTAGATGAATATATTTCCTACCTTATATTTGAGTGAGACCACTAGATTCCATGTATTATGCGAGATCTGAGCGCTTCCGTTCTCCCTGGCATTTGCACTTTAAGATCCCATACTGACCGACCTGGCCAATGCACCATTTTCCATATACATATGCATTAGATTCCTTTCGAACCTTATTAGCTCACTAGATTTATATGTGAGAATAAGCGAACAGGAATGAATGAACTAGCAGTGAAATGAGTACAAGTAGGAAACCCTAGAATTGTGTACCCCCTATAGGCTAACCCACTGTAGCCTACACAAGCAGAACATATATAATGTTTGACACACCCCTATAGGCAAAGTGGGGGAGAACAAGGGGTCACAAGACCAGTCAAGTAAAGCAAAGCAAGCTCAGGGTGGATCACAAAGTCACCACACAGTCCGAGCACAAGAGCAGGGCCAGAGGCCAGTTCACATGCAGGAGTACAGACATATATATAAAACTAGACAAGCAAGAGCAGGTATATATATATGTCACAGTACAAGTGAAGTCAAGAGGAGAGCAAGTGAGGCAAGACAGGCACAAGACCCAGCTGGGTGCAAAAGCGCTGATGGTCACAAGGCGCGAGTGCCTTGGTGAACACATCAGCAGTGTTGGCCTCAGAGGCCACGTACGCAAGTCGCAACTGACCACGCTGCTGCAGCTCACGAGCAAGGAAGTAGCGGAGAGCAATGTGCTTCGTTCTGTGCTCCAAGCGCTGCTCTCGACACAATGCCAGCATGGCCTTGTTGTCTACGTACAGCACTGGAGGAGAACGAGGTGGCTCTCCAAGGTCAGTCAGCAGGTAGGTGAGCCAGCGAAGCTCCTGTGCAGCCATGGCCCCGGCGTAGATCTCAGCCTCACAACTGGAGCCGAGAACCGAAGACGAGCGAGTAGACCGCCACGAGACAGAGCCGGAACCAAGGCTGAAGGTGTAACCCTGTGATGACCGCTGCGTAGCCTGGTTGTCAGCCCAAGAAGCGTCCGCGTGGCCGGTAAGGACCACTGGACTCCGCCCTCCAAGCACTAGCCCCATGCCCGACGTACTGCACAGGTAGCGCAATACCCTCTTCGCTGCAGCCATGTGCTCTGGTCTGTGTCTCCGAGGAGCAACATAGCGTGCAAGAATGCTCAGAGGGTATGCAAGGTCAGGTCGTGTGCAGGTCATCAGGTACATGAGGCAGCCAACAAGCTCTGCATACGGACCACTCGACTCTACGGACTCATCCGAAGGCAGAGCTGAGAGTGAGTGGCGAGTAGGCAGAGGAGTGGCCTGAGGCGAGGAGTACGTGAAGCCAAAGCGCTGAAGGACCTGCTGCACCATGTGTGACTGAGTCAAGGTAATGGTGCGGCGTGCTCTGTCCCGAGTGATCTGCAAGCCAAGGTAGCTGCGCAGTTCACCCAGGTCTGTGCACGTGTGTCTCTTCAGCAGTTCGGACTTCACGTAGGCGAGTCCAGCAGTGTCCGCTGTGGCAAAGACCAAGTCGTCGACGTACACGAGGATGTAGAACGGCGGCAGTGAAGTGTCGGTGCGCAGAAACAGCGACGGGTCAGCAATAGAAGGAGCAAACCCAAGAGCCGCAAGCGTAGTCCTCAGTGTGTCGTGCCACTCACGCGGTGCCTGGCGGAGACCGTAGACTGGCCGTCGGAGGCTCCACTGGGTGCCAGGAGGGAAAGTCCCAGTGAAGCCAGGTGGACGGCGCAGCCAGATCTCCTCGTGCAGGCTACCCTGCAGGAAACAGTGCTGAAGTCGAGAGAGTGAAGCTCGTAGTCGCGCTGAGCGGCTATGTGCAGTAGCACCCGAAGAGTGGTCATCTTCGGGGTGGGAGAGAAGGTCTGAAAGTAGTCAACTCCCTGCCGCTGACTGAAGCCACGAGCAACGTACCGTGCCTTGAAGACAGGTGGAGAGCCCGGCGGCCGCTTCACTCTGAAGATCCACATGCCACTGACGATGTTCGCCCCAGGAGGGGGAACCGCGTCAACGTAGGTGCCTGTGGACTTCCAGGAAGCCATCTCTGCATCCATAGCTGCCTGCCACTGAGAGGAGTAGGGACCCTCTACGGCCTCCGCGTAAGAACGCGGAGTCGGGATGTCTAGTGCATCCGGGTCTCCCTCAGGGGCAAGCAGTACAGACGCGAGATGAGGTGAAGCAGCCGCTAGACACTGTAACTCCTCCTGCCTGTCCTCTAGGACGTCCGTGCCAAGAGCACACTCACCCCCGACGGACGGAGGACAGACAGACGCAGACTCAGCAACAAGACTAGCAGCGTAGTCGAGACGACAGCGAGCAGCAAAGTCGACGAGCTCAGCGACTAGAGCAGACGCAGCAGTGGACTCAAAAGAGGGGTCAGTGACGACAGTAGCAAGCAGACGCGTGACAGTAGGACTGGCAGCGCAAAGAGAGTCCGACTCAGGGTCGGCAAGCGCAGGAAGAGAGGAATCAGGAGGAGAAGGCAAAGGGGCACGCAGAGGAGCAGTGCACGGACGCAGAGACATCCGGTGCGTGCCAGGGACAGGAGGAGGACGCTGACGCGAACCGCGACCACTAGCGCGAGCAGCACGAACCGGCGACGCGGGACGAGACGCAGGCTCACGATGCTCAGCAAGACCTCGCGGAACCTGCTGTAGGAGCGGAACGAAGTACGGCCGAGGCCGCGCGGCAGCTCCAGACTCAGCAGGGACAGCACCAGCACCCTCAGCGACAGCACCAGCGCCACCAACACCTCCAGCGGCAGGACCTCCAGCAGCACCAGCAGCAGAACCACCGCCAGGACAGACAGCAGTAGTCTCAGCACCAACACCCTCAGCAGCTCCAGCTCCAGTAGGACCCGCAGGTCCAGCAGCTCCGGGACCGGCAGCACCAGCACCCTCGACGGTTGACGAAGCTCCAGCTCCAGCAGCACTCCTCCAGCGGCGAGCAAACCACTCGCGCAGCTCCTGTGGAGAGAGGGGCTCCCGGCGAGACGCAGCAGCAGGAGAAACCCCAGGCTCAGCAGCTCCAGACTCAGCACCCCCAGGCACAGCAGCTCCAGACGTAGCACCCCCAGGCTCAGCACCTCCAGACTCAGCACCTCCAGGCTCAGCAGCTCCAGACTCAGCACCCCCAGACTCAGTAGCTCCAGCTCCAGTAGGACCCGCAGGCCCAGCAGCTCCGGGACCGGCAGCACCCTCAGCAGGCGAAGAAGCTCCAGCTCCAGCAGCACGCCTCCAGCGGCGAGCAAACCACTCGCGCAGCTCCTGTGGAGAGAGCGGCTCCCGCCGAGATGGAAGAACCGGAGAGCCCCCAGGTCCAGCAGGCGCAGGCTCCGCACCTCCAGGCCCAGCACCCCCAGGCTCAGCAGCTCCTGACGTAGCACCCTCCGGCTCAGCACCCCCCGGCTCAGCACCCCCAGACTCAGCACCCCCCGGCCTCGCACCCCCAGGCTCAGCACCCCCAGGCTCAGCACCCCCAGCAGCAGCACCCCCAGGCTCAGCACCCGCAGCAGGACCAGACTCAGCAGCAACCTCGACTGGCTCGACCGTGTCTACCTGGGACACACCTGAAGGGGCAGGAACCTGAGGGGGGAGGGGGTCTACCGGGGGGGGAACTGGTACCAGGAAGTCCGGTGGGGGGGGGAGGGAAGGAGTACGGTAGGGGAAGAGGCGGTAGAAGGGGACTGACTCGTCGAACGTGACGTCCTGGGAGGACAGAACACGACGAGAGGAGGGGTGGTAGAACTGCCACCCTGGAGCGTCACGGGGGAAGCCAAGGAAGACACAGGGAGCAGCACGGGGGGACAGCTTGTCCGCAGACAAGTCGCGGACAAACGCCCGAGATCCCCAGACACGGAACGCAGACGCATCGCCGACCTTCCCCGTCCACAGTAACACTGGGGACATCGCGGGCCGAGAGACCCTGGGGTGAAGGTTGAGCTGATGCGCCGCGTACCGAACCGCAAACGGCCACAGAAAATGGGGGGCAGCCGCATGCATCATGGACGTACGAGCGACATCCATGACCATGCCAATGCGGCGCTCAGCAATCCCATTTTGCTTTGGAGAGTCCGGAAGCGTAAAGGTCTGGCGGATCCCCTGTGCACGACAGTAGTCTCGCAGAAGGCGAGAGGAGAACTCCCCACCTCGGTCAGAGTGCAAACGCAGAACAGGAAAGTCCGAGCCGAAGCTCCTCCTGAGCTGGAGACGAGCCTCGCGGATCCAGTCGATCAGCACCTCAGTGACAGCACCCTTGCTGCGCAAGGGGAAGACTGAGGTGTAACGCGAGTAGTCGTCAACCACCAGCAGGAAGTAGCGCTCGTGACCCTGCCCACGGACGGGGGCCGGGCCCCACACGTCCATGTGAAGCGTCTGCAGAGGAGCCTCTGTCAGGGGAAACTGGGAGGAGTGAGGAGCAGCCCTGAGGCGCCCCTCGACACAGGGGACACTGGAAGGTCCTGGTCCCGAAGGAAGGGGAGGGAGAGACTGGGGAAGACCAGAGACAAGGACACGGGAAGCCATGCCCCGAAGACGGGGCAAGGAGGGGTGGCCTAGACGGTGGTGCCACAGAAGAGTCTCGTGAGACAGGAGGCGACACGAACAGGGGGCAGACTCAGGACCAGACCTGGACGCAGCAGCAAACACCTGACCCGACACTGCTACCTGACCGGACGCGGGGACAGGAGGAGACTCAGTGGTCAGGGTGTAGAGGCTCGACCCCGGCCGACGCGAGAACGTGGCCAGGTGCCGGCCTGTGCGTGCGTCCGTGCAGTGGGTCACCCGCTGACTCGCAGGAGTGAACTGGTGAACCCCCGCATCCTGTAGGTCTGCACCACTCACCAAGTTCGTCGAGAACGAGGGGAGGTACAGGCCAGACAGGGTGCCCGAGGGGGCAGCCGGACACGGGAGGACAGTGGAGAAGTGAGCGAGGACAGGACCCCCAGAGGGGTCAGCCAGGGAGACTGCAACCGGCCGACCAAGCGGCGTGAGTGTGGTGCGGTCCCGAAAGAAGGAGCGAGAAGCCCCAGAGTCAAGTGTAAAGGTGAGGGAGGCCGAAGCCAACGCGGTACCTGAAAGCGCAGCCTCACCCGCACCTGAGGAAGCAGACTCACTAGCACCTAGAGCAGCAGCCGCACCTGTACCTGGATCAGGCGGGACGCATAGGTGACCGGCACGGTCAGCACTAGTAGGCAATGCATACATGGCAGTGAGAATAGCATCATAGTCAAGAGCATATATATCTACCCTCTGCCTAAGCAACTCCACCCAGTCGGGAAGCTCAGCCTCGTCGCCAAACACGGTACGCCAGGCGTCGCTCAGACGGGCGAAGCAGCGGGACGGTGTATGACTACGTGTCCCACAAGCTGACCAGTCCGAGTACCAGTGCGAATCACGTAAGAGCAGCGAACAGCACTGAGAGACCCTCCACTCTGAGCGTACCACTCACGAAGCTGGCGAGGCGTGAGAGACACGCGAGAGGGTCGCGGGAGCTGCATCTGGCCGCCACCACGAGTAGAAGCAGCAGGAGTGGTAGTAGGAGTAGCGTCGCCACCCCTACAGCCCCAACCAGCGTACCACTCACGCAGCTGCTGGGGCGTGAGGGACTCACGCCGGCGTCGCTGGGGCTGCATTTGGCTCCGCAAGTAGAAGCAGGAGCAGGACTAGCAGCAGGGAGGCAGGCAGCCAGGCAAGCCAAAAGGCAGGCAGGCAGGCAAGCAGGCGACGCGCAGCGTGCTAGCAGGGTAAGAGCTCACCAGTGGTGGGAAGAGTAGGCTCGGCGACTCAGCGGCTCGGCAGCTCGGCGGCTCGGCGGCTCGGGCGACTCGGGCGGCTCGGCGGCAAGGCGGCTCGGCAGCAACTGCAGCTCAGCAGCTCGGTGACTCGGCGGCTCGGCGGCAGGGCGGCTCGGCAGCAACTGCAGCTCAGCAGCTCAGCGACCCGGCGGCTCGGCGGCAGGGCGGCTCGGCTGCTGGGCGGCTCGGGTGCAGGGCGGCTCGGCGGTGGGGCGGCTCGGCTGCTGCAGGTGAGCGGCTCGCGTAGAAGCCGGGGCGGGGCCCGCGGCGAGAGCAGGCGGCGGGGCCGCGAAGGAGCCGGGGCGGGGCCCGCGTGAGAGCAGGCGGCGGGGCCGCGACAGAGAGGGCGGCGGGGCCGCGTCAGTGAAGGCGGCGGGGCCGCAGGGGAAATGGCGACCCGAGGGGTCGCTAAAAAAAAGATCGCGCCTCGGGGGGCGCTTCGGTGGGCCCAAAAAAAAAACGGTCCGTAGAAGGACGCGCTCTGATACCATGTGAGAATAAGCGAACAGGAATGAATGAACTAGCAGTGAAATGAGTACAAGTAGGAAACCCTAGAATTGTGTACCCCCTATAGGCTAACCCACTGTAGCCTACACAAGCAGAACATATATAATGTTTGACATTATATATTTCCCACCTTCTGATCGAGTGAGACCGCTAGATTCCCTTACTTTTTGAGAAATGAGCGTTTCCGTTCTCCTTGGCCCTACTTGCACTATAAGTGCGAAATGCCGGCCAGACTGGCCGATGCACCATTTTCTCTACACATGTGCGTTAGTTACCTTTCAAACCCTTACGTTCACTAGATGAATTTATTTCCTACCTTCTATTTGAGTGAGACAACTAGATTCCGTGTACTATGCTAGATCTGAGCGCTTCCGTTCTCCCTGGCATTTGCACTCTAAGTTCCCATACTGATCCGACCTGGCCAATGCACCATTTTCCATATACATATGCATTAGATTCCTTTCGAACCTTATTAGCTCACTAGTTTTATATATTTCCCACCTTCTGATCGAGTGAGACTGCTAGATTCCCTCTACTTTTGAGAAATGAGCGTTTCCGTTCTCCTTGGCCCTAGTTGCACTATAAGTGCGAAATGCCGGCCAGACTGGCCGATGCACAATTTTCTCTACACATGTGCGTTAGTTACCTTTCAAACCCTTCCCTACTCTCTATTTGAGTGAGACCACTTGATTCCGTGTACTATGCGAGATCTGAGCGCTTCCGTTCTCCCTAGCATTTGCATTTAAGTTCCGATACTGACCGACCTGGCCAATGCACCATTTTCTCTATACATTTGCGTTGAATACATTTCAAACCTTTTTAGCTGACTAGATTTATATATTTCCCCACCTTCTGATCGAGTGAGACCGTTAGATTCCCTCTAGTTTTTGAGAAACGAGCGTTTCCGTTCTCCCTGGCCCCACCTGCATTATGAGTGCGAAATGCCGGCTAGACTGGCCGATGCACCATTTTCTCTACACATGTGCGTTAGTTACCTTTCAAACCCTTACGTTCACTAGATGAATATATTTCCTACTTTCTATTTGAGTGAGACCACTTGATTCCGTGTACTATGCGAGATCTGAGCGCTTCCGTTCTCCCTGGCATTTGCATTTTAAGTTCCGATACTGACCGACCTGGCCAATGCACCATTTTCTCTATACATGTGCGTTGAATACATTTCAAACCTTTTTAGCTGACTAGATTCATATATTTCCCACCTTCTGATAGAGTGAGACCGTTAGATTTCCTCTACTTTTTGAGAAATGAGCGTTTCCGTTCTTCCTGGCCCCACCTGCACTATGAGTGCGAAATGCTGGCCAAACTGGCCGATGCACCATTTTCTCTACACATGTGCGTTAGTTACCTTTCAAACCCTTACGTTCACTAGATGAATTTATTTCCTACCTTCTATTTGAGTGAGACCACTAGATTCCGTGTACTGTGCGAGATCTGAGCGCTTCCGTTCTCCCTGGCATTTGCACTCTAAGCTCCCCAAACTGACCGACCTGGCCAATGCACCATTTTCCATATACATATGCATTAGATTCCATTTGAACCTTATTAGCTCACTAGATTTATATATTTCCCACCTTCTGATCGAGTGAGACCGCTAGATTCCCTTTACTTTTTGAGAAATGAGCGTTTCCGTTCTCCTTGGCCCTACTTGCACTATAAGTGCGAAATGCCGGCCAGACTGGCCGATGCACCATTTTCTCTAAACATGTGCGTTAGTTACCTTTCAAACCCTTACGTTCACTAGATGAATTTATTTCCTACCTTCTATTTGAGTGAGACCACTAGATTCCGTGTACTATGCGAGATCTGAGCACTTCCGTTCTCCCTGGCATTTGCACTCTAAGTTCCCATACTGACCGACCTGGCCAATGCACCACTTTTCCATATACATATGCATTAGATTCCTTTCGAACCTTATTAGCTAACTAGATTTATATATTTCCCACCTTCTGATCGAGTGAGACCGCTAGATTCCCTCTACTTTTTGAGAAATGAGCGTTTCCATTCTCCTTGGCCCTAGTTGCTCTATAAGTGCGAAATGCCGGCCAGACTGGCCGATGCACAATTTTCTCTACACATGTGCGTTAGTTACCTTTCAAACCCTTACGTTCACTAGATGAATATATTTCCTACCTTCTATTTGAGTGAGACCACTTGATTCCGTGTACTATGCGAGATCTGAGCGCTTCCGTTCTCCCTTGCATTTGCATTTTAAGTTCCGATACTGACCGACCTGGCCAATGCACCATTTTCTCTATACATGTGCGTTGAATACATTTTCAAACCTTTTTAGCTGACTAGAATTATATATTTCCACCTTCTGATCGCGTGAGACCGTTAGATTCCCTCTAGTTTTTGAAAAACGAGCGTTTTCGTTCTCCCTGGCACCACCTGCACTATGAGTGCGAAATGCCGGCCAGACTGGCCGATGCACCATTTTCTCTAACATGTGCGTTAGTTACCTTTCAAACCCTTACGTTCACTAGATGAATTTATTTCCTACCTTCTATTTGAGTGAGACCACTAGATTCCGTGTACTATGCGAGATCTGAGCACTTCCGTTCTCCCTGGCATTTGCACTCTAAGTTCCCATACTGACCGACCTGGCCAATGCACCATTTTCCATATACATATGCATTAGATTCCTTTCGAACCTTATTAGCTAACTAGATTTATATATTTCCCACCTTCTGATCGCGTGAGACCGCTAGATTCCCTCTACTTTTTGAGAAATGAGCGTTTCCATTCTCCTTGGCCCTAGTTGCTCTATAAGTGCGAAATGCCGGCCAGACTGGCCGCATGCACAATTTTCTCTACACATGTGCGTTAGTTACCTTTCAAACCCTTACGTTCACTAGATGAATATATTTCCTACCTTCTATTTGAGTGAGACCACTTGATTCCGTGTACTATGCGAGATCTGAGCGCTTCCGTTCTCCCTTGCATTTGCATTTTAAGTTCCGATACTGACCGGACCTGGCCAATGCACCATTTTCTCTATACATGTGCGTTGAATACATTTCAAACCTTTTTAGCTGACTAGAATTATATATTTCCCACCTTCTGATCGCGTGAGACCGTTAGATTCCCTCTAGTTTTTGAGAAACGAGCGTTTCCGTTCTCCTGGCCCCACCTGCACTATGAGTGCGAAATGCAGGCCAGACTGGCCGATGCACCATTTTCTCTACACATGTGCGTTAGTTACCTTTTCAAACCCTAACGTTCACTAGATGAATTTATTTTCTACCTTCTCTTGAGTGAGACCACTAGATTCCGCGTACTATGCCAGATGTGAGCGCTTCCGTTCTCCCTGGCATTTGCATTTTTAAGTTCCGATACTGACCGACCTGGCCCAATGCACCATTTCTCTATACATGTGCGTTGAATACATTTCAAACCTTTTTAGCTGACTAGATTTATATATTTCCCACCTTCTGATCGAGTGAGACTGTTAGATTCCCTCTACTTTTTGAGAAACGAGCGTTTCCGTTCTCCCAGGCCCCACCTGCACTATGAGTGCGAAATGCCAGCCAGACTGGCCGATGCACCATTTTCTCTACAACATGTGCGTTAGTTACCTTTCAAACCCTTACGTTCACTAGATGAATTTATTTCCTACCTTCTATATGAGTGAGACCACTAGATTCCGTGTATTATGCGAGATCTCAGCCGGTTCCGTTCTTCCAGGCATTTGCACTCTAAGTTCCCATACTGACCGACCTGGCCAATGCACCACGTTCCATATACATATGCATTAGATTCCTTTCAAACCTTATTAGCTCACTAGATTTATATATTTTTCACCTTCTGATTGAGTGAGACCGCTAGATTTCCTTTACTTTTTAAGAAATGGGCGTTTCCGTTCTCCCTGGCCCCACCTGCACTATAAGTGCGAAATGCCGGCCAGACTCGCCGATGCACCATTTTCTCTACACATGTGCGTTAGTTACCTTTCAAACCCCTACGTTCACTAGATGAACTTATTTCCTACCTTATATTTGAGTGAGACCACTAGATTCGGTGTACTATGCGAGATCTGAGCGCTTCCGTTCTCCCAGGCATTTGCACCTAAGTTCCCATACTGACCGACCTGGCCAATGCACCACTTTTCTATATACATATGCATTATATTCCTTCCGAACCTTATTAGCTCTCTAGATTTATATATTTCCCACCTTCTGATCAAGTGAGACCGCTAGATTCTCCTCTACTTTTTGAGAAATGAGCGTTTCCGTTCTCCTTGGCCCCTAGTTGCACTATAAGTGCGAAATGCCGGCCAGACTGGCCGATGCACCATTTTCTCTACACATGTG